CCCCAGCAGGACCTGCGTGAGCAGGCCAGGGGGCTTGGAGCCATGGCTCTTGAGGTTTTTAGGGGGTCCGGGGTTTAAGGGTTTAGGGGTTTAGCGGTTTAGGGGTTTAGGGTGTAGGGTCTAGGGTTCAGGGTTTAGGGGTAGGTGTTTTGTCAGTTCCCATGGTTAAAGGAAACTACAGGAAAGGAGTTTAGGGCATATAGGGCTTCGATAAGGCTTCCATAAGGTATATAGACCTTCTATAAGGCTCCTATAACGGTAACTACGCACCTGAAAATGTCCTAGACATGAGCGCAAGGTGCTAAGATTTGGCGCTTTAATACCCCAAACCCTCGAGCGCTTTAAGGTGTACAGCTTGCTTAAAGGTTTCGTAGGCCTAACGTCTTTGATGCCTGGGGCTTTAGGAGTTTATGGAGGTTAGGGTTTAGGGTTTAGGCAGGTGACGATGGGAGGTTGTGAGGTTTGACGCTTTCTGGGTTCCGGGTTAGGTTCGTAGAGTGGTGGAACTTCCGGGTTGCGGTAGAGCATTTCGGGTCAGGCTTCACGTGGGAACCTGATTCAGAAATCCTGGCCTAGAACCTCAAAATATTAGGATGCATAACAGAACCCTAATAAAGACCCAGGGTTTCTCGACATTACACTTCATCAGGACTCACAATGAAGTTTGGGTGGAATCAAGAGGATTCGTGTTGACTGGCTGGGATATCTCAAGAAAAATAAAGCCAGGGAAACAGAAACAAAAACACGACAAAGCAAGAACAACAGAACCAACAAAGTGAGAGGTCTAATGATGTGTTTATGAAACATCTGAGTTCTCCTTGTGAACAAATCTGGACTAAAGCGTGGCATTGATCGCACGTGCTGCATGATGTCCTCTGAGGTGTGACGACGAAATAGCAGACAGTCTGTAAAAATGCCGTGAACATGTTCGGAGACGTATAAACCTATCGGGAACGACAGAGACACAGTCTGGACTAAGTATGTAGCAAAGGAAGGCTATATAGCCCTAAAGGTCAGACACTTGGGCTATGGATAGCAGCTTTGTAGGTTAGTATTTGGGAGAGTCTCTGAGTAGTAGGTACTTGGACCCTTTTTGAAGGGCCTGAATAATCAGAATGGGGTTCCTTCAAGGGAGCAGTTTCCATTCTGCATTGAGGGTTTTTTACATCATTTCAGTATAGCTATTTCAGGATTTTAGGAGATCGGTGCTACTGATTATTGAAGAGGTGCCCAGGTTCATGGGGGTTTAGGCATTAGGGATTATTGAAGCCCTTGTAGGACACAGCAGCCCCTTCCACTTCTGCAACGCTGTCCATAACCCATCTTGTCTTACCCAACCCCACTTACCAAGCCAAAACAGCATCCAAGTGGGGGCCATGGAGACAGTAGCTACCCGAAAGACCCACACACACACACACACACACACCCTAGACACTCAGAGAAACCTTCACAAAAACCTGACCTGAGAAATCCGAAACTCACCAAACACCCTCAGCCCCCAAAACATTAAAGCAAAGATATCCCCAATACCAAAACCTGCATAAACAGGAGCCCTAAACACTCAGACAACCAAGCGCCCGAAGAAGCCGAACACATCAAACAGCCTCGGAAATCGAAGAGCCCACCCAAACACATCCACCACCCTGAGGGGCTCGCCGTGGACAGCAAGGCCACCAAGACCAACATTTGGGGATTCACCTGAAATCGATTCCGGGCTCAGGATTAAGGGCTTTCGGGTGTATGTAGCCGGGTTTAGGGGCACCCTAAACCCTAAACCCTAAACCCTAAACAAAAGTATAGTGGGTTTTACAGGGCTTCGGGGCCTGGCCCTTGCCAAGGGCGGTTCAGGTTTGTAGAAGGGCCCTGGTAGGTTGCCCCATAATTCTAGAGTTTAGGGTTTAGGGTTTAGGGATATGGAGGACTAGATAGAACGATACTGTAGTAATGACCGGAACACTAAAAAGCCGATTCTAGCGGTTTCGGAACCTTTGCTAGTAGATATAGACAGCGCAAGACTGGACTCCAAGACACTACACCGGCAAACCCCCAAACCGTGAAGTCCCAACGCCCTCGAACCTCCAAGCGTTTTGGAACCCCCGCAGAACTCTCCGTCAACCAATTTATAAGAACCTTCAAGTCGAGGTCAAACATGGACCCACAGCCTGAAAAAGCACGAGCTTAGGGGTTTAGGGTTTAGGGTTTAGGGTTTAGGGTTTAGGGTAAAAAACACTGAAAAGTATTCCTTGGACCCTAAAGTACCTATTTGGGGGCCAGAGGACAGACCATATTGGGGCATGGACCATTGGGGACAGGTGTGGACCCTTTGTTAGTGCACAATAGAGAAACCGTGAACCCTAAACCGTAAACAGCCGTAGTCGGAACTAAATTCGCCTTCAGGATTATCTCGGGAATAGTGTGCCCACAACAAGTTTTGAAAGTAACCTACTCTCCTACTGAGCCCTAAATCAAGGCTTTCCCTAGCCAATCTGCCTAGATTGGATGGGGCCTGGATTTTTGTGTGCTGCCTCGCCTGACGTGCGGCGATCGAGGCGGTACAAATTCAGGCAGCACTCAATCGAGGGAGATTGGCTAGGAAAAGCCACCACTAAACCCTCAACCTAAATTCATCCTACACCCTAAACCCTACACCCTCAACCCGAAGTTAAACCCTATACACCCTAAACCCTAAACCCTACACCCTCAACCCGACATTAACTCCACACCCTAGAATAGTCACAAATGGTGCTCTGCACTGAGGGCTCTGCCAGGCCCTGTGACGTCGCAGCCATGGCGGGAGCTGCCCTGCCAAGGTTTAGATAACAAGAGTTTAGGGTTTAGGGTTTTGGGTATTAATGAAATCCAACTCACAAGATTTTTCAAAAAAATAATATGGATAAGAAGAAACATTTTTAGTAATAAAACTAATGCTACTACAAAGCATACTAAGGAGGAGGATTCTTTGGTGCTGCTGTCCAGCCGCTTGGAGTTGATTGCTGCAGCTTCGTTAGAAGTGAGTAGCAAATGACCATCCGACCGTCAGGTACTGCTCGGGGCCTCGCATTCGATTCAATCATGTTATTGCGTAACACTAAGGGTCCATGTACCCAAATAGTAGAACATTGGCCTTAATGTAGTCCTTATATGGGTACTTTAAGGCCAATGTTCTACTGTTTGGGTACATGGACCCTTAGGGTAACTTCCCTTCTATCAACATCCCCAGCTGTTCATACTCCCGCCCAGCCACTCTGCAGCAGGATACAACTTGGTGTCTGCGTCAGCTGCTTCCACAACTGCATTTCTGCTTTTCTACTTGGAGGTTCATGGGTAGTTATGCGGGGGGGAAAAGTCCCCTAATATGGGTCCTAACTATAGTTACAACTACCATACTTCTAACCGCTTTGACAATTACCCAGGAAGCTCCAAGTAACAAAAGCCTTAAAGTACCCATTCGGAGCCCTCATGATAGCCCTTACAGGAGCCCGTATACTAGTGATAGATAACTCCTGTCAGAACACGACATGTCGGCGATTGTAAGCAAGGCATAGAGTTCGCTACTGGGCGGCATCATGGTGTAGGCTCTTCAATATAGCACGGCAAGTGAGTCTGCAGAGTCGTTTTGCTGATCACGAAGGCTTGGCAGTTCCGTCGAACTGTCTTCAGGCACATTCTTCCCTGGACAGGCCATGAAAGCAAGGAAAGGTACTCCAGCCAGCTTCATGAGCTCTGCCTGCGTCGTCGGCAGCAAAATGCATTTCGGACAGCTTCACGCAGTGTCATGAAGTGCATCGGCATCCAATTGTCTGCGGTTGGGGCCGCCCCCAACTCTATACGTCCAGTGCTGTTTGCGGTTGAGGGACTTGACTGGCCGGGGAAGTGTGCATAGAGCTTTTGCCAGCTGGCGCTGGGCAAAGTCCGGAAGTCGCCTGATGTGGCATGTTGTGGAGCCGGTGGCAAACGAAGGGATGCCACCAGCTTGAGTCCCCACGTGTGCTGGCTTGGCATTGCTAGCACAACAAATCCAAATCCCAAACCGAACAGGGAAAAGGCTCCTTGCGGTAGGTTTTGCCCTGCGCGGCCATCACTGGGATACATGCGCGGAGCCTTCGGACAATTGCAATGCAGCTTCGTCCACGCAGCACCGGGCATCATGCAAAGATCAGCATCTATGCCACGGTCGATGTTCTTCTCGGAAAAAGCAGCGTGAATCTTGGCCCACGCATGGCCTGGAAGGATGCGAAAGTCGCTTGCTCCGTCTCTGTGGCAAGGGTTGGAGGTGCTTTGGAGGCAGCTGCGGTCGACGCTGGATGCAAGGCCTTGCGACATCGCCGTCAAGTTCAGCGGCTTGGCACAGTCTGGCGCAGCAGCCACCACGAATGCTAACCCAAGCCCGCACATCGGATGAGAAGCGACAACGCGGGCATCCGCCTTGCCTCCCTTCACTTGATCAGAACCCTCGCATGCAGTGCTGGGAAGGTATTCGAGAGTCCTTGTCATGTGGGAAGTGGTATGCTGCTCAGGCTTGAAACGTTCGTGTATGTTGTCCCACGCAGAACTTGGAAGGCTTCGAATCGCAATGGTGAAGTTGGGCCGTGGCTCATCATCTGTCATGTCTGCTGCTGCCTCAGTGGGGGCCTGGCACAGCCGCATGAGCACGTCATCGACGACACTTTGCAAGGCTGGCTTCTCGCCCGGCCGCAGCTTCTGGCAATCTTCTTGTCGGAAAACGGGGCCAGCTCTTTTTTCAAGTGCTACCCACCCTCTCAACGGCTGCTGGATGAGCGCCTGCTTCCCCAACACCGCATCTACGAAAACGGAACTGCCCTCCTCCAAGCTCCCCAGAATCTCGGAGCTGCCGCTTCTGTTGGCTCTGACTTTGGCAGTTCGCTGCACCGTCGCCCATCCTCGCTGCACCAGCGGGCGCCCCGCTTGGTTGCCCAGAGCCTGCCAAAACAAAAGGGCAACAAAAACAACAAAAGCGCTTCATGGCTCCTTTTAGCTGGGGAAAACATCCCAACCCCATCATTGCCTGCTGCCGCTTGGCATGCCCCTCCGCTTGAAGGGCCTGTGGACGAAAGACTCGTACATAACAAGAGATGCTAGAGAATGTCGGGCGGGTTTGAGAGTTGAAGCTATGTTGACTGTTGGCACAGTATGATTCAATCATGCATCCGGCCTCCAGCCGGAACTTCTGCTCCCACTGGAGCTTGCCACCCAGGGTTTTGCGGCCCAGTAACCGCGTGTCAGCGTCTCCATCTCGGCAGAGGCTGTCCATGGCAAGGGCAGCTAATGCTCGAGGCCACCGAAGTCAGACAAATGCTTCCTGGCGTGCATTGCGTAGAACTTGCATGGATCAGTCGGAGAAATCCTTTTCCAGCCACAGGCCAGTGGCGACAGACACTCGCAGGATGCGGCAAGCTCCCCCTGCTGCTTCACAACGCAACCTTAAGTCTTGAGGCCTGTGAAGAGTAAGACTTTAAAGAACCCTGGTTCGGTGAACAATAATACCAACAACAATAATAATCGTAAGAATAAAAAGAACGCCAATAAAAATCGGAAGAATAGTAGGCTTGGAGCGAGAATCTGAGAAGCTGCACCCGTGTTGCAGAAGCAACGCAGTGAGCTGTGTACGCTCGAAACGGACAATGCATTAAAGCCCAAACCCTGCAGGGAGGTCCTTTACATGCAGTAGACCTGCATGATTCATATATCTAACTATCTAACCCTAAACCCTAAACCCTAAATCCTCGAAACCCCGAACCCCCCAAACCTCACTGACACAGCTTCTTCGACTCTTACGAATAACAGCAATAATGATAGCAATAATAGCAGTCAGAGCAATGACAGCAGTAATGAAAGTAATCATGGTAATCCCCGAGGGTTCATGTACCCAAATAGTATATACATTGGTCCCAAAGTACTTATATAGGGACTACTTTAAGGCCAAAGTATATCTATTTGGGCACATGGACCCTGAGGGAATAATAACTAGTAGTGATTTCTTCGACTCGCGCTAGCAGCTCTAGGGCTGCTGCTGATGTGCGAAGGCACCGCCAGGAGCGTAGCCTCAGGGTAGGGGGTTTAGGGTTTAGGGTTTAGGGTAGGCTGGGCGCGTTTTAATGTAGGGGCCTTAATAATTCGAATAGGGTTTTGGGGCCCGTGATGCTATAACTAAAGTAAGGAGCCCGCAGAATAGTGTAGGTAATTATTAAGGCCCCTATTCAGGTTAATCGTTCGGGGCTAGGGGCCGGGATGCTTAGAATAAGGTTTTGTGGTTCTTTGAAGGGGTCCTCTGAGGGTTCTATAATGAGCGTGCTATAAGGGCTTTAGGGGCCTGATAAATTAGCAAAGGTTTTGGGTCTGAGTGTTCTATAGTAGAAGAAGTGCACGACAAAGGACTTGCACAGCAAGTGGGGTCCATGGGTTTTTTCGTTTTAGGGCTTCGGCGGTGTGTGCAAGCAAGGGAGCTATTGTGGATTCGGGTTGTAGGACCTGATCTACGCCTAACAGCAACAATTAGAGCAGGTTATTAGGATGCAAATGCTCCGATGAGGCCAACTAGGGTACGCAAGTCTGACCTGTCTTGTACATAGTCCACATGCAGGGTGAGCCTTTAGAAGTCTCCTGAGCCCCAATACCTGCACTTAACAGCCTCATCTTCATGAAACATCACCATCGGGGTCCCCAACAGCGTCACTCAGAAAGCTGCAGTTACATACACAGTTTGGCTAGAGGCGCCCTTGGCTTGTTTCCAGAGTTATCTGAAAAGAGCGGGGTTTAGGCCCTAAGAAGGCTTGAAAGGAAAGATTACTTGGAGGCCCAGGGGACTTAGTAAGTAGGTTATAAGTAGAGTTATAAGTACCCTAAATGGAGTTACCCCAATTAGAACCCTACTTACAACCAACTTACTAAGCCCCCTGGCCCTAAACCCTAAACCCTAAACCCTAAACCCTAAACCCTCCAAGTATGTTTAGGACATTTGAACTTGGGGTTCGGGATTTATCTTGCCCATGGCTACAGCCCAAGGTATCTAAACTAAGCAACGCCTATGGTCCTTTTTGAGGGCGTTGAGCTACCCTACTTTCAGCTACCATGATGTGGGCTGCGCTGTAGAGTTAGGAACTTGGCCTCAGTTAAACAGCATGACAAGTAGATTCACTGTAGCATGCGTCACGCTTGTCGTAACAAGCCTTCGACAAGAACCCATCAAACCGACAACAACCCCTTGTGAAATCCATAAATAGGTAAGAGTGTTTTTTTTTTTG